TGTCATTAGCACCTCTAGTAATATATTTACTGAGAAAAATGGTGACGTGTTCAATACTTATTTTACCCGCTATATATTACATGTTTCAGTCGATAAGAAACAGTTTGTACATTTATCTGATTGTTTAAACGTGTGGGTACAAGACGAGTTGCGGGGAGTTCAGCTCATCCTCGCGATTAAGCAAGTTTTTCTTTCCTCTGCAGGTTTTGAGATTCCAGACGGTGACGCAGAGAAGCTGATGACTCCAGCGGACATCGTACAGTACATCGCAGACAAGAAGGATGTTTATGAATGATGCGTTCTGTAGCTCAGTGGCAGGTGGATTTCTGTTCTTTCTTTATGTTGATTTAAAGGTTCTCCTTAAATTTCATTATTTTTTTCTTTTGATTTCAGAGGGTGCCCTCCCCCACACAGGAGGAACCAAAGCATTTTCCACTTCAGCCCCCGTCAGCTTTTCCAGCTCATCGTGGCGATGTCTGCGTCACCTGCCGCGTCTCGTGTTTCACTGTATTTAAGCGAACGTGCTGTTGGGAGCTTAGAGATTTAAAACTTGATTAAAAACAAAACATACAACAGCTCTGATTTGTTTATTTTGTTTTTTACCCCAACCTGCGGTGTTGATGTATAATTTGTTAAATAAGATCAATAAAAACAGGTTGTATGGTTCTGTTAGAGATGTTCAGGCTTTTTATTTTTTGAATTGCTAAACCGGCTTTAGCATCTTCACTTTTGAGGTTGATAGTTTGCACCAATTTATGTTCATCTCAGGAACACAGAACCCATCTCCCTGATCAGCAGGATGGCGTGCACAGACTTAAACATGAACACCTTCATGAACCAGTTTATGCTCAACAAGCTACATTGGCTGATTTCCATTTTTGAACCACGTCACGCAGAGCAGCAGTGTTTGAGCTGTGCCTCTGTTAGTCATGACCTAACTTCTTTACCAAATCATTTTAAAGCAGTTACTTTGTCAAATTGAGACTTTGAAGAAAGTAATACATTCTCATCATTCAAGCAACTAAAGACAATCGAGATTCCTCATCAACATAAAACAGGAACGGTTTGATATGAATCAATGTCTGCGAGGGAAAAAAATATATAGTCGGATGAAAAAGTATGTGAATCCTTTGGGATTTCTTGGGTTTCTGCATAAATTGGTCATTAAATGTTCTGATCTTCATCAAACTCACAACAATAGATAAACACAGTCTGCTTCAACTTATACCACACAAAAAAATTATGTTTGCATGGTTTTATTGAACACAGCATGTAAACATCCACAGTGCAGGGTGGAAAGAGTTTGTGAACCCCCTAGTTGGAGCCAGGTGTCAGCCACCCTGGAGTCCACTCAATGGGATGAGATTGGATGTGCCCTGCCCTATAAAAAAATAAAAGTTTTGAGTTTGCTGTTATTACGCAGCATTGCTTGATATGCATCATGCCTCGCAGAAAAGAGCTCTCAGAAGACCTATGTGCAAGAATCGACTTGCATGAAGCTGGAAAGGGTTACAGAAGTATCTCTACAAACCTTGATGTGTCCACGGTAAAAACAGATGGTCTCCAAGTGGAGGAAGTTCAGCACTGTTGCTACTCTCCATAGGTGTGGGCTTCCTGTTGTGGCAAGTGGTGATCTTCTGGGGCTATAACATTAAAGTTTGGTTGTCACCAACAACCAATAACTTTCACCCAGAAAATCAAAAGTCAAGACACACGTACGGTTTTGCAAAAAGCAGGAGACAGTTTTCAAGTACAGAAAGTTGTTTTATTAAAACACAAAATGTGAAAG